GCTAGGGTCGCCACCGCCCGCACTGTCTCCGCCCCGCCCGCGGATGCCTCGGGGTCACCGCGCCTTAAAGCGGCCGCGTCCACTCCGGAGCCAGTGCTGTCGGCGGTAGGAGAGACCTGTCCCCACCCCCACCACCCCCACCCCCGTGCCCCTCCATCGCCCACTTGATCCAGAGAAGCAACTCTTCACCCTACCCTGCCACCCTCTGGAAGTAAGCCTCCAGCTTTAGGCTGACAGGCAGGCGAAAGGAAAGCAAGTCTAATTTGGAGCCAGAATCTAGGCCCAACCGCACCCATCACAGGTGTGGAAACTGAGGCTGGAGCAGAACCTGCCTGAGCTCAAGCAGTATTGCATCCCTATCTGGGTGGGAGCCCGAGACAGGCCAGACAACTCAAGCCCTAGCAGTGGTTCATCTTTCCAGTGCTCCCCGCCCCCCACCATTGCCTAGCCCAGCTAGAGCTCCTGAGGGTGCACTCGTCACTTCCCTTGCCCAGTCATCCTCCTAACCTATGACAATGAGGAAGTCACTGTAAGGATCCCAGCCCCCCTTCAAAAGGCATGCTGGGCGTATCAGCAAGGTCTGTTTGTGGCTGGGCCTATTTCCCTGTCTTTAGTATCTTTTGGAAAGGACTGGGGCTAGCAGCTCGTTATTTTATTTTTTTTTGGTAAATTAGGTGGGTGTTAGCTCCAGCTTTAATGGGCGCCCTGGCCCCTAAACAAGCCCTGGATGCTGACGAAGGCCCCTTGGGAACCTTTGGGAGAGCCGTAGCTGCCTCTTGCAAAGCTCCTCTGGAGCAGCAGCAGTTCTGTGCCCCCAAGCACCCCAATTCCAGGCCCCGTGACCTGCTTGGGCACATGTCCAGGTGGGGCGGCAGCTACCACTTGTCCTATGACAATGGGCATCTCTTGTCCATAAATGCTTACCTTCAAAGTCCTGCTATGACTCAGGCCCCAGCTAGTCCAGGAGCTGGCCCCTCCTGTGCCCTCACTCTCACAGTGAACCAGAAGAGGGAGGAATTACAACTCAGCCTCCCTGCCTGGGTATGTCCCCAACATGACCTGGGCACAGTGATTGCCTCTCATAGTAGTAAGCCTGTCAATCACCTTCAGCCCTGCCTGGGCAGCCTGAGCAAGCTGGAGCCTTCTCCGATTGTCTTCCACCTTAGAAACAGACACAGCACTATCCCTGCCTCTCCTCCCACCCATGGAGCACTGGGAGCTTCTATTTGGGGAGAGGTAAGGTGGTCAAATGTGACTCCTGGGTTTAACACTCTTAGTATGTGATGAAAACAGATTTCCCAAATCCATTGTGCTCCTGCAACACACAGCCTTTGAAACAGCAGGTCAGCTTCCATCTCTTTTCTCTCACCCCCTCCGGCTTCCTGGCCGACAGCTAACTTGGGAGAGTTAAATTTAACAGGGTACTGAGTGGGGTGGGGTGTTACTCGGGTAACCAGGGCTATTTAGATAACACAAGGGGTGGTGCCTACCAGACAGTCAACTCCTCCCTCACCCCAGGAACCACCCCCCCATCCTAGTCCAGGGAGGGAGGGAAGTAGCAGGGGCTGGAGGCTTGAGCAGCAGCCCCTTCTGAACCCAGGCGTGATACAAGGCTCCCACCTAGCCCTTGGTTAACTTGATCCTCACTAAGGTATCCTCAAAGTGCCCTGTTGGTGTACTGGATTATGTGCTGGGCTGTTAACTGCAAGGTCAGCAGTTCAAATCCAGCTGCTCCTCTGGAGGAAGATGAGGCGTTCTGTACCCATCATAAAAGATTCATAGTTCCCCAGAGTAGAGAAGGTAGAGGTCAGGTGCCACAGCCAGAGAACAGAAAGAAAAGTGACGACAACTTTATTTTTCCCTGAGATGCTGGCTCCCCGAGGACTTCCTAGGCTTCCGGTCCAACGCGTGGGCCATGTATTTCTCCTGCTGCTTCTGGATCCTGAAGTCAGACATGTGATTCCTGCAAGGGAGTCAGCTAGACGTGGGCTGGAGACAGCTCAGGGCAGGGGCCAAGGGCCTGGCTACTCATTTCCATCACAACCCCCAGCCTGGCCCAACCCCTCACCTGAAGATCTGTTTCTGTTGACTGATAACTTGCTGCAACTCCTTAATCTCATTTGCTTTGCCATTAAGCATATCTTCTTGCTTTATAATGTGAGACTCAATTTCTGTGGGGGAGAGAGGAAGGGAGAAGCCATCCCCACAGGCTGCCTCCTGAGAGAAGACCTCCAGGCTTTTCTCAACTGGGTTTCTCCAACTAAGGGTTCGCCACGACAGCTGCCAAGATGGTGACGTGGAGGGGTGATGAGGGAGGCTTGCGGGTGAGGAGAATGTCTGAGGATCCTGTCAATGACTCCCCAACTCTGTTTTGGGTCAGGTGACCCCATGGGGGTGACCCTTGAAAAGAGGGGAGCAGCCCTGCCCCAAACCAGGAGGTTTGCCCTCTCCTTGGCAGGCTTTCCCAGACCCCACCTCTTTGATGAGACTTTCCCTAGCAGACATCACAGTTCTGACCCTCTGAAAGCGTCTTGCTCCACCCTCCCCTGTGTTATTTTTCTTCTTGACCCAGATCTACATATTTCACTCCTTTGCTTTCTCCCTTACTAAGACGTAAACACCACAGTGGACAAGGGTTTTGCTTGCTCACCGTTCTAAATACCCTGGGGCCTAAAACAGTGGCTGGCACATAGTAGGGGCAGACGAAATTTATTTGTGAACCGATAGACTGCCCTTTGGAGGTTAAGGCATCATTTGGTCTGGTCATCTCCGTCCAGCCAGACCTCCTGATGTCTACCATGTACTAGGCCGTGGGGATGGGGGAGGATGGAGAGGTAGGACTCAGAAGCTGGTCAGAGAAAGAACCAGTCGAGTTTCAATCATGTTAATGTTGATGAGACAATCACCACACTGGGAAGCTGTGTCCCTTTCTTGTCCCATCTTCTTGTTTTTGTTTTTAAATCTGTTAAGATGGGGACAGAGAGCATCCTCATTCCACAGTGGGGTGAAGAGGACCCGGAAGTAGTGGAGGCAGCACCTGCCCCCAAATGAAGTGCACAGTAAATACAAGGGCTGGTTTTGTTTTGTGGGGACATGCTGTTATATAACCTAGTCTCATGAAGCTCCATCCTCACAGGAAAACCCCGCTGTTTTTAAGGTTGGACAAGGCTCATGACCCCCCTAGAACACAAACGCTAAGAATGCAGACATGCCGAAGCAGTCCAGAACTTAGAGGAGGTCTGGTTAAAAGTGGCAGAGGAGCAGAGGAAATGAAGCCACAGGCTCACTGGGCCATGGGCCGAGGACTGCTAAAGCCCCTGCTCCAAGCCAGCAGCTAGTGTGGAGCAATGGCTGTGGACTTCTTGTGGGAAGAAGAATCAGGAATTCCCAGGCGCCTTTTAAAATAAAAATCTGTGGCACTCCAATGAGGGATCAGTTAGAGGGGCCCTTTGAGAAGAAAAAATGAAAAACGCAAACCACACAATGGGAGACGAGCGTGAGGGGAATGGGCCAGGTGAGGCTCAGTCAGGTCACGTTGCCAGATTTGCTCAGCAGCAAGGGAGGTTCGGGACATTGTGGGAGGAGGCTGCCAGCTCTACCGCCCGCCACCCCTCCGTGACACACGTGTGCGCACACACACACATCCCACCCCCACCCTACCCCCTTTTCACAGGCTGACACCGGACCACAGCGGAGGGAAGGAAATGTCTCAGAGGGAAGAGGTTTCCAAGTCCACCTAGAAAACGCCCCAGGTTCCTTTGAGGACAGCCCTGGATGCCCAGGAAGCAGAGCGAGGGAAGGGACTAGGGGACCATCGGCCTGAGGTCGAGGGGCAGCGACTGCCCGGTGGGCCCCAGGTGGCCCTGGCTGGGATCTTACTAGGGAGTGTGCTCCTCAGGGAAGGGAACAGGCGGGGTAGCAGGCAGGGATAAGGGGTGCCCAAGGCTCAGGCTGGGGGCCCCCACTGGGAAGGACTTTTCCACCTCATTTTAGCTTGGGCGTTGGTTCCTGGTCTACTCAAGATCTGCTGCAGTGAATGAAGCAGATGCTGCGTGTGGAACTGATAGGGAGCCCTTAACCGAATGACGAGAAGGCGTCAGTCTGGACAATGAATGGGCTTCCTGAAGTTCAGGGAAGCCGGGGAGCTGACTCTGAAAGTGCCCCTGCCCCGCCCCAGCCCTGACTGAGCCAACAAGCAGATGCTGGGCACCCACCGCAGCAGAGCTGAGGGGAAAATGACTGGCCCACCAGGAGCCGTTTGCCTTAGAGTCATCTCGGACTCGTGGTGAGCCGGCGTGCTGAGGTGAACTGAGCGCCACAGGGTTTCGTGGCTGTGATCTATTGGAAGCAGATCCCCAGGCCTTTCTGCCTAGGTATCCCTGGGTGAGTCTGAACCAACCTTTCGGTTAGAAGTTGACTGCTTAACTGTTTGTCCACCCACAGGGAATTTTAATTGGCCCGCAGGATGTTTGAAGAAAAGGTAAATCAGTTGCCCACACTCAAAGAGTAATAGAAGGAAGATGCTTAAGGAAAAAGCATCCATCAACACCTGATTTGCAGATTCCTTTTAAAAGGCGCAGCACCACTGGGCCGCTTTCCCACAGCAGAGGGGCTCAGCCCTTGAGAGGGAGGGTGGCTCTCCACAGTCTCCCCTCCTTTTTGTTGGTTTCCTGACCCTGAGGCTGAGGGTCAGCTCCCACAGGAGTCTGTGCTCGCCGGGCAGTTCCTCTTGTCATAGTTGTGAATAATGTGTTTCTAGGATACAATCTATGACACCCATCAGAAGAGGGAAAAGAAAAGGTGGACTAAGAAAGTTGTAGGTTTTAAGAAAAATGGGAGCGAGCCCGTTTCTTTATGGCTGTGAAGAATATTGTACGCCGGCTGCTTCCCTCATTTCCGTGACCTGCCTGGTCCCTGAAGGCCTTTGCGAAGGTGTGGCCCACTTGGGTTTGCCTGTATCCTCAGCCGGGTACAGAAGTTGGGGTGAATCCCTGCCCTGGCCCTGGCTGCGGCCATTGGGCAGTTCGGGAAGAACCCGTGTATGTAAGTGTGGGAGGGAGCACGGACCTCCCGCCTACCATTGCATTTGTTGATCAGCTGGTCCTTCTTGCTGGATTCCTGCAGGACTTTGCTCTTGACGCTGGAGAGCCTGGTGGGCGGAGAAGGGGAAGATAAGGCAGAAGGGTCGGCAGGCTGGTGGGCAGATCAGACCGTCAACCCGACAGTGCCCTCTCCCACAGCCCACTCATCCTTTTTCTTCTTCTTTTTTTAAATTTTTAAATCGTTTTATTAGGGGCTCATACAACTCTTATCACAATCCATACATACATCAATTGTGTAAAGCACATTTGTACATTCATTGCTCTCATCATTCTCAAAACATTTGCTCTCCACTTAAGCCCCTGGCATCAGCTCCTCATTTTTCCCTTCCCTCCCCACTCCCCCCCCTCCCTCACGAACCCTTGATAATTTATCAATTATTATTTTGTCATATCTTGCCCTGTCCGGTCTCCCTTCACCCACTATTCTGTTGTTCGTCCCCCAGGGAGGAGGTCACATGTAGATCCTTGTAATCCGTTCCCCCTTTCCAACCCACCCTCCCTCTATGCTCCCAGTATTGCCACTCACACCACTGGTCCTGATGGGATCATCCGCCCTGGATTCCCTGTGTTTCCAGTTCCTATCTGTACCAGTGTACATCCTCTGGTCTAGCCAGACTTGCAAGGTAGAGTTCAGATCATGATGGGGGGGGGAGCACTTAGGAACTGGGGAGCACTTAGGAACTAGAGGAAAGTTGTATTTCTTATTGTTGCTACATTGCACCCTGACTGGCTCATCTCCTGCCCTGACCCCTCCACTTACGCTTTTTCAAAGGCCAGCTTCTCTTTCTCCAGCTGTTTGGCTAGCACCTCTACTTCTCCAAGGGCAAACTGCAACTTCTCCTCCTCCTTGGCCAAGAGGGCCTTGGTCTTGGCATGAGCAGTCTTCTCTTCCTGCAAGGGCAGCAGCAGTGACTGCGTGATGCCAACACACTCCTCACCAGCCACAATTCTCACAGGGCACAGGGTAGCCAGGGTACCTGAAGATTCTGGCCTCTGTGGCTGAAGCCTCTCGGAGGCCAAAAACTCAGTGCCTCTCCCCAAGCCAGAGGGGCTGGGGGCACGAGGGGAGGCTTAGGAGCTGGAAGAGGCCATTACTTACCACCAGCTTCTTCTCCACTTCCTGGAACTCTTCTTTACTGACAAAATTTTCATCCTGGAGAACCATCTGCAACAGAACCTGGCTCAGGGAGACTGGAGTGGGTGGGGGCCCTCTCAGGACCAGGCCCAGGGGTAAATAATGGCATGATACCCCAGATCCTAATGAAACTGAAGATGAAACGAGTCACTGAGCCGCTTTATCCTACCCTCAGGGACGAGCGAGCCACAGCCTGGCACTCCTATGACACCACTGCTTGCATGGGCTGTGGCACCCGGGCGAGGGCCCTGACCCAGCCTGGGGAGGGTCTGAGATGCTTCCAGAATAGGCAGCAGCAGAACTGAGACCCCACTCTTGTAGGCAGAAGAGGGGTGAGTAAAATGTGTTCCAGGAGTGGAAACCCACGGGCGAATGCCAGCTGCCAAGAGCAGCTTTTGAATACCTTCAGGGAACTGCAAGTAATTCACTGCCTCAAGCTGCACACATTTTGCTGAATGGGGGCATTAGAGGAGCAAACAGAGCATGTCTCTCTCTCTCCAATCTGTATCTAGCGTCCCAGAAGGGAAATGCTTTTCTAACTTAGAACCATTCAAGTGTGAAATATATATATAGGGCATCCCAACCTTCTTATCCAGAGAGAAGGCAGAAACAGAAAAGCCATGAGCTCTATCTAACTGGCCGGGGTTTTACCAGGCCTGCCCAGCGCTTGCACAAAGCTATGACCTGCGGCTGGACTGAGAAGGCCCAAGCAAAGGGCCACAGAGATCAGAGACTCCTTGAGGCCCGCCAGGGCCAAATCTCTGCTGACTGCGCTCACCGTACAGGCTCACCACAGAAGCGGCGCATGGCTAATTTCGCTGCCTTCACGCAACCTTGGGAAATCAGTATAGCCCTCCTTACTTAAAAACCAGGAAACTGAGGCTCAGTGAATAGAAAAGAGACTTGTTGACCAGGCCCTGGGGCAAATTGGGTAGAGAGGGAGACCAGGTTTGGAGTTAAAATCCCCTGGTAAATAGAGAACCTGGCCCCACCCCCACCAATCTGGACCCCGCCTCCTCCTGATGACGCCCTTGGCCCCGCCTCCCGGCGCGGGGGGGGGCGTCCGTGGCACCGAGCCCGGCCCCGCGCCCCCGGGGGCGCCCCTTTCAGCCCCTCCCCAGTCCCCCGGGCTGCGTACCACATTCCTCAGCTGGTGGATCAGCTCCTCCTGAGATTCAATTACGTCTCGCAGCTGATCGAAGGCGAGACACACGGACCCCGACCCCCCCTGCGACCACCCGAGGGGCGTCGCCATCTTTCGCCCCCGCCAGCTCGTTGGAAATGGCCGCCTTTGGTTGCCGCCCCGCCGCCGCCCACCAATGAGAACCAGACGCAGCAGAGCACCCTGGCAACCGGGGCGGGCGCCGGAGGGAGTCGCTGGGCGGGAGGCGGGGGCAGCCCTGCCGGCCCTGGGAGCCTGTGCTTAAAAGGGGTTTGTGATTGTGACGCGCGCCGCACGCAGCCCAGGGCCCGGCCGCGCCGGCTCGGCCTCCCGCTGGAAGCCTGTGAGCAGACGCCGCTCAGGGCTGCGAAACCGCGGGACCCTAAGGCACCGGGCACCCCTAGCTTCACCTGCCTGCGCCCACCGTCATCCCCGTTTCCCCACGTTGTGAACCCCCAGCCTCCCGTGGGCTTCCTTCCTCCCGACAACATCGCTGGTACTTGGAGTGCCTGAGCCGAAGCAATGAAGGGGAGTCGCAAGTCAGAAAACAGTTTGACCCGAGAAGCCTTTGGTAGAGGGATGCTGCAGAGACTGAAGAACCGAGAGATTTTTGTTTCTGCCGTGTCCTGGAGTCACCTCCACTCAGCGACCCCTATGCATAGCACAGTCTTGAGCCATCCCCACCATTGTTGCTAAGTCTGAGCCCACTGTTGGCAGCTCATTGAGAGACTTCCTCTTTCCCCCACCCTCGAAAGCCGGAGGTCCTTCTGCAAAGACGGGTCCCTACAGACAACATGTCCAAGTCGAGCGATGAAACCTTGCCGTCTTCACTTCGAAGAACATGCTGGAGATACCACCACGGATTTGTTGGTTCTCTGGCAGTTCATGGTATAGTCAATATTCTTCACCAACACACAGGTCAAAGGTATCCGCTCCTCGTTCGGTTTCTTCTAATGTCCAATTTTTGAATATATGTAAGGCAATTGAAAATACTATAGCCTGAGTCAGGTACACCTTTGTCCTCACGGTGACATCCCGAGAGCTTTGAGCACTTGTTAGTGGTCTTTTGCAGCAGTTTTGCAATGCAATTTGTAGTTTGAGCTCTTGACTGCTCCTTTTATGGGCACTGATCCTTGACAACTTCAGTATTTTCTCCGTTTATCATGATATTTTCTACTGGTCCAGTATGGAGGATTTGTTTTCTTTATATTAAGGTGTAATCCATACTGAACAGGCTGTCTTTTTAACTTTCAGCTAGCAAGGTTGAGTTATCTACATATCAAAGGTTGTTAGCAAGTCTTCCTCCAATCCTGACACCATTCTTCATATAGTCCAGCTTCTTAGATTCCTTGCTCAACGTATAGATTGACACACACCTTTCCTGTTTTTAAATCAGGCAGTACGTTTTTGTTCTGTTTGAACAACTGCCTCTTGGTCTATGTACAAGTTTCACATGATCATATGAAGTCTTTCTGTAATTCCTATTCTTCACAATGTTAGAAGTTTGGTATGAGCCACACAGTTGAATAATTTTGCGTAGTCAGTAAACACAAGTCAGCATCGTTCTGGTATTCCTTGCTTCCAGCCAAGATCCAGCTGATATCAGTGATGGTAAATCCCTCAAAGCACATGATTCTGGCAGCCCCCTGTCAATGTACTGCTGCAACTGTTGTTGAATTACCTTAAGCAAAACTTTACTTGCATGTGATATTAATGACATCGTTGGATCATTTCCACATCTCCTTGGATCAGCTTTCTTTGGATGGCACAAATATTGATCTCTTCCAGGTGGTTGGCCAGGGTGAGCACTTGTGTCCATATGTTGAAACATCCCAATTGATATCCGTTCATTCCTGGAGCCTTGTTTTTCACCAAGACCTGCAGAGCAGCTTGACGTCTTACTTCCATCCCCTCAGTTCCTGATTCCGTGCTACCTCTTGGAATGGTTGAACATTGACCAAGTTCATTTTGGTAAATCGACTGCACGTGTATTCCTTCTACCTCCTTCTATTCCTTCCTGCATTGCTCGGTGTTTCGCTCATAGACTTCTTCCATATTGCAACTCAAGGCCTGATTTTTTTCTTCCTCTTCAGCTCTTTCAGCCTGAAAAATGCGGTGTATGTTCTTACCTTTGGTTTTCTAACTCCAGGTCTTTGTCGATTTCCTTGGTGCTTTACTTTTTGTCTTCTCCAGCTGCCATTTGAAATCATCTGCTCAGTTCTTCTGTTTGCTTTAGCTATGCTACATTCAAGAGCAAGTTTTAGAGTCTCTGGTGACATTTATTTTAGTCTCTCTTATTTTATTTTTTGGTCCCTTTAATGACCTGCTTTTTTCACATATGATGCCCTTGATATCCTACCCCAACTCATCCAGTCTTTCATCATTAATGTTTAATGTATCACATCCATCCCTGAGATGGTCTCTAATTCAGGTGGGATATAATCAAGGTCATGTTTTGACTTTTGTGGGATTGTTTTAATTTTATTTCCCTTCAACTTGAACTTGCAGAGGAGCAAGTGATGGTCTTTCCTGTGGTTGCCTCTGACCTTGCTCTGATGGATGATACTGAGCATTTCCATTGTCTTTTTCCGTAGATGTAGTCTACTGGATTCTGTGTCTTCCATTTAGTGCCGTCTACCTGTCCAGTTGTCGTCTATGCTATTGGAAAAAGTTATATGCAATCCGTGGCTTCCAAATAAAAGAGCTCTGTTCCTTACTGTGTCCTTCAGTCTTCAAATGGAATCTGTAGGTGAGTCAGAACAGGTACATTAAGGTCTTAATTAGCTTTACTTCAGTGGAAGAAAAGGCTTGACGTCTTTTCAGTTATTTCAAAGCTGCAATACAATAAATGAAAAGTGATTGTGATGAAGACTTTGTTGAGTAGGGGCTGGTTCAATTGCTTAAAAGAGCATGGGCAACTTTACAGAACACTAAAGGGCAAGTAAGGATTCTTGTGGCTAGACATTTCACAGCCCTCACCTGGGACAGCCTGGTTCCCATGAATAGGCTGCTGGTCTTGTAAGACCCTAGCGAGCAATCTCTCTCACAGTCTACCACCGATGCCACGCGTCCAGCCTACGAGCCTTCTTTGTTTCCAGCTTTCACATTAAAATCACCAGTAGTTGTCGAGGCATTTTGGTTGTATTTTTTATCAATTTCAGACTGTGGAAATTGTTAAGAATTTTATTTCTCCATTTTTGAAAGTAGTAGGTAGTAGTGTGTAGCTTTGAATAGTCATATTAAATTTGAATAGTAAATTCAAATTTGAATAGTGTAAATTTGAATAGTAGTCATATCTTTTGTGTGACAGACGCATATTATTCTATTACTGAGAGAGCAGCTGTATTTCAGAATAGATCTTGAAATGTTCTCTCTCTCTTTTTTTAATGTTCATTTTGATGACAAATGCAACTTTCTTACTCTTCAATTTGTCATTCCTAAGTGTTCTATTTCATGTTGGACAACCTCCAATTTTCCTGGATTTCATATTTTGTACATTCCACCTTCCATTTATTAATAGATGCTTGCAGCTATTCTCGTTTTACGTTATGCCACATCAGCAAGTGAAGATCCCGAAAGCCTTACTTCCATCACATCATTAATGTTTATTCTACTTTGAGGAGGCAGCTCTTCCCCAGTCGTATCTGAGTGTCTTCCAACGTTAGGGGCTCATGTTCTCTGCTAGTCATAAAGTTTCCACGGGCCAATTTTTTTCAGAAGTAGACCACCAGATCCATCTTCCCAGCCTGTCTTTGACTGGAAGCTCTGCTGAAACCTGTTCACCCTGGTGACATCACAGCAACACTCAAGCCACTATGAAAAGGGCCATTATTGGGTTACTATTAGAAGAGTTGAGGACCGTTGGTGGTGTAGTGATTATGCATTGGGTTGCTAACCTCAAGGTCAGCAGTTCAAAACCACCAGCTGATCTGAGAAGAATTTTCTACAGCTGTATAGAGTTTCAGTCTGGTAAACCCACTGGGCAGTTCGTTCTGCACTGTCCTGTAGGGTTGCTATGAGTTAGAATTGACTGGAGGGCAGTGAGTTTGGAGGGTTTTTTGTGGGTTTTTTTAGTGTTAGAAGGGTAGGAGTGGGGTATGGAGGCAAGTTCTAAAATCAGGGTACGAAAAGATAGATTGCATATGTTCATCAAATCCCCAAACACTGGGCAGTTGGGACTTTTTGGAAAATCCAAATCAGATTGAATTTAGAGAAAAGCAAAGCTAATTTTTATTGAATGTAGACTATCTCATGGTACTGTTATTATGCTTTTTAAAAAAACATTTTATTGGGGGCTCGTTCAACTGTATCACAATCCATCCATCCATCCATTGTGTCAAGCACATTTGTACATGTGTTGCCATCATCATTCTCAAAATGTTTGCTTTCTACTTGAGCCTTTGGTATCAGCTCATCTTCCCCCCTCCCTCCCCTACCTTCTCTCCCTAATAAACCCTTGATAAGTTATAGATTACTATTTTCATCTCTTACATTGTCCTGTCGCCCTTCACCCACTTTTCTGTTGTTCACCCCCCTGGGAGGGGGTTATATGTTACTCCTTGTGATCAATTCCCCCCTTCTCCCCCAACCTTTCCCTTATCTTCCTGGTACCTCTATTCTCATTGTTGTCCCTGAGGGGTTTATCTATCCTGGATTCCTTGTGTTGCGGGCTCTTATCTGTAGCAGTGTGCATGCTCTGATGAGGTCATGATAGTGAGGTGAAGGAAGCATTATGGTACTAGAGGAAAGTTGTGTGTTTTATCAGTACTAGAAGAAAGTTGTGTGTTTTATTGGTGCTATACTGCACCCTGACTGACTCATCTCTTCCTTGTGACCCCTCTGTGAGGGCATACTCCATGCCCTGCCCCACCCCTATTCACATTGGGTATGATTTTATTCTGGGTCTTAGATGCCTGATACCTGATCCCATCGACACATCTTTATCACACAGGCTGGTGTGCTTCTTCCATTTGGGCTTTGTTGCTTCTCAGCCAGATGGGCGCTTGTTTATCTTCAAACCTTTAAGACTCCAGATGCTATATCTTTTGATAGTCCGGCACCATCAGCTTTTTTCACCACATTTGCTTATGCACCCATTTT